GATTACAGTCAAACAGAAAGGCAAAAGTGAATGCTTCACTTGCAGAGAAGGGTGAATATTATTCAAATAGACCACCAACTCCATTACTTGACACTATTAACTACCCAATCCACATGAAAAATCTTTCCATCAAGGTAAAAATCCATCACCAAAAAGCTCTGATTGATTCACTTGTTTTTAGCTTGGGAGAGAATTTGTGTCCCAAATCTGATTGATTGGTGGGAATTTGGTAATTCATTGTGTAGGAACTGAAACAACTTTCTGATGAGTTGAGATCAGATGTGATCTTTAATGTTTCGAAAACCGGTGGGCATTTGGGGTCAAGTCTTGGTGTTGTGGAGCTCACTGTTGCTCTTCATTACATTTTTAATACTCCACAAGACAAGATTCTTTGGGATGTTGGTCATCAGTCTTATCCTCACAAGATTCTTACCGGGAGAAGAGGAAAGATGCCGACGATGAGGCAAACCAATGGTCTTTCGGGGTTCACTAAGCGAGGAGAGAGCGAACATGATTGCTTTGGTACAGGACATAGTTCAACCACAATATCTGCTGGCTTGGGTATTCAATCACTTTTGTTTCCTTGTCTTCTGCTTTGTCTTAACAAGAAAACAAAAGTGAACCAGAGGTTTGGTGTTACTTACAGGAATGGCAGTGGGAAGGGATTTAAAGGGGAAGAACAACAATGTGGTTGCTGTGATTGGTGATGGTGCGATGACGGCTGGGCAGGCTTACGAGGCCATGAACAACGCTGGATATCTAGACTCGGATATGATTGTGATTCTTAATGACAACAAGCAAGTTTCATTACCTACTGCTACTTTGGATGGACCAAGTCCACCTGTTGGAGCATTGAGCAGTGCTCTTAGTCGGTTACAGTCTAACCCGGCTCTCAGGGAGTTGAGAGAAGTCGCAAAGGCAAGTATATTCCATTTCTTTCTAGAGTGGTAAAGAATCTTTGTCTTTATGGAGTTAATAAGAATTTTAGCATTTGTTGTGTACAGGGTGTGACGAAGCAAATAGGCGGGCCAATGCACCAATTGGCTGCTAAGGTTGATGAGTATGCTCGAGGAATGATAAGCGGGACTGGATCGACACTGTTTGAAGAACTCGGTCTCTACTATATCGGTCCAGTTGATGGGCACAACATAGATGATTTGGTAGCCATTCTTAAAGAAGTTAAGAGTGCCAGAACTACAGGACCGGTACTTATTCATGTCGTGACAGAGAAAGGTCGCGGTTATCCTTATGCAGAGAGAGCTGATGACAAATACCATGGTAAACCAACTTAAAAAGATAACGCTTCGCTTTAGTTCTTAAGCAGTTCGATATATACATATTGATTGTTTTTCTTTTAGGTGTTGTGAAATTTGATCCAGCTACGGGTAAACAGTTCAAAAGTAGTAATAAGACTCAATCTTACACAACTTATTTTGCGGAGGCATTAGTCGCAGAAGCGGAGGCAAACAAAGATGTGGTTGCAATTCATGCAGCCATGGGAGGTGGGACCGGGCTAAATCTCTTCCAACGTCGTTTCCCAACGAGATGTTTTGATGTCGGAATAGCAGAACAACACGCTGTTACTTTTGCTGCGGGTTTAGCCTGTGAAGGCCTTAAGCCATTCTGCGCAATCTATTCATCTTTCATGCAGCGCGCCTATGACCAGGCAAGTACAACATTTTGATCTTTTTACTTCAAAATTCAAATGAAACATTTAAAAAAAAACTAATAGAGTATATGGTGGTCTTTTCTGTAGGTTGTACATGATGTCGATTTGCAGAAATTACCGGTGAGATTTGCGATGGATAGAGCTGGACTAGTGGGAGCTGATGGTCCAACACATTGTGGAGCTTTTGACGTGACGTTTATGGCTTGTCTTCCTAACATGATAGTAATGGCCCCATCAGATGAAGCTGAGCTCTTTAACATGGTTGCAACCGCTGCTTCTATCGATGATCGTCCTTCTTGTTTCCGTTACCCTAGAGGTAATGGTATTGGCGTTGCATTACCTCCCGGAAACAAAGGTGTTCCAATTGAGGTATAGCTTAATCCGATCCTTTCATGTTAGTCTCTCTTTCTTTATCATTTCAACAAAAAATATCTCTTTCGTTGTATTTCAGATTGGGAAAGGCAGGATTTTAAAGGAAGGAGAGAGGGTCGCGTTATTGGGCTACGGCTCAGCGGTTCAGAGCTGTTTAGGAGCGGCCTCGATGCTTGGAGAACGCGGAATAAACATAACCGTAGCAGATGCACGGTTTTGCAAGCCATTGGACCGTGCTCTGATTCGTAGCTTAGCTAAGTCGCACGAGGTACTGATCACGGTTGAAGAAGGTTCGATTGGAGGATTTGGATCGCACGTTGTTCAGTTTCTTGCTCTCGATGGTCTTCTCGATGGGAAGCTCAAGGTTACAATCTTAGACATATATTCCTAACATCTTGCTCTGTCTTTTCGAAAATATATGGTTTCTAATTTGCAAATGTTACCATTTCTTACAGTGGAGACCAATGGTATTGCCTGACCGGTACATCGACCATGGTTCACCAGATGATCAACTGGCTGAAGCTGGGCTCATGCCGTCTCACATCGCCGCGACAGTGCTCAACTTAATCGGGACACCAAGGGAAGCTCTGTTTTGAAAATGGAGTCAGGTGTGGGTAAAACATATATACAAAACACTCTAAAATGCAACGTTCTGATCAAAGTTCCTTTGGGAACATGGAAGATTAGTATATGGTAAAATCTGTTGTCTTTTTGTTGTTGTTGATAATCTAACATCTTGTAAAAATCAAATTACATTTCTTCGTCTAACTTAAAAATTTAAGATGTTTTGGTTTGATTTTTGTTTTGTGGGTAGTAAACCTGAATTCATTTAATCAAAGAAGTCGGGTACATCTTGCTCAAGGGCCAAAAGGTACAGATTAGAAAACAATAGATTTAGAGGAAACGATTAACTCTCTAATATCATCAATGAGAACATCCACATTGTTGAGTTTAGCAAAGCAAGATCAAGACAAAAACAAAGACAAGCGAGGAAAGGAAGTATGCTTGTTTTATGTAAGACGACGAGTCTAGCTATTTGCTTCTGACCATAAATACAAAGCAAACTGCATTTTGTCGATTCTCGAATAAGGAGATAAGAGAGGGTTCAATTACTGCTATCCAAAAGTTGGTGAGTAGCATCCAAGGCTTTAAGGTCAAGTCGTCAAGATGTGAGTATATATATTGTTGGCAGTGGAAAAATTAGAGGAGAGGGAACACAACAAAAAACATA